CTAAAAATTTCTATTCTTGATCCTGCTTTAATATATCCATTATTTTTCAAATTTTATATTATGATAATACTATAACTTAACATAAACAACTCTATTTTTATGTTTTGATAATGATATTTCTCAGCTAAATATTAATAAGAATTAAGATATATATCCATACTGATGAACTTTATGACAAACATGATAGCTAAATCTTTTCTACTAATGATAAATGATGTAGTAAATGCATTATTAAACCCCATAGATTAAATGCTTAACATAATCATCTTTATTCAAAAACTTCAGATAATAATGTTAAGAGAAATTGAAAAAGTATTTTAGTTTTAATATGTTTAAAAATTATTTCAGTTGAGACATAATTATGCCATAATTCAAAAAATATTATATAAAGAATGGCTAAATTCTTATAAATAACACTTAACCTTTGCATTCTGTCCATCTATTCATATTAAATTAATTGAAACTTTATTAGAATCATAATTTAGTTATTTTGGGTAAAAATCAGTTTATTAATGAAAGATGTTTTATAGAAAAAAAATTATTAATTTTTTAATAAATGATACTATATAAAAAAAACATGGTATTTTAAAATCTTTATTGAAGGCTCACTTCTCAAATCAGCTTTCATCAATAGAGAGTTGAGTGTAAGTAAATCTCAATAGTAATTCTTTAAATAATCAAATACAGTAACTGTAATTTGTAGATCAATATACAGTAATTTGAATTTCCAAACTTTTAAATAAATAAAAACAATTATTAATTGAAATGTATTATTTAAAAAATAACACTGTTTATGATGTTAAGTAGATGTTAGTAAACAATAAACTTTTTACATTGTTTCATTGTCTATTTCTTTGTTTTTCAACATTACTGGTTAGTTAAATTTGTTAACATTTTTGACTAATCTGAAAAAGATTTTAATCTTTTGACTTTAATTATATTTATTGTTTTTGTATTTATACAATCTCATGTTTGTATGTTGAAACGAAATCATAGATACTCCTGTAAACTCTTTCTAAACTAATTAATCAAAAGTTACCCATGGCATTAAATAGTATAAATTTTAAGAAAAACATATGAAGTAAAAGTGCTTTCATCTAAACTAACTACAGTTGGCATTGCATAACTTCAAACATAGCAAGAATGTTTTTACTAAATAACTGTAAATACATTAGTAAACAAGGTGCAGTATAATGTTGGTTTTTTTCTATACCTGCACTATATAATTCATCTAAAAAGAAGAAATTTTCCAGTTTCACCTATCAAAAGGTACAAAATATTCTTTATTGCACTTGAGGTTTCAGTATTTCCAGGGATAATAAATTTTCCATCACTTAAAATAATCCTGATCATAAGAGTGTTAGCATAATTAGAACTGTCAAGAATATATAGGATTCAGCACGTACGGTACATTAAAGTGGAAAATTTCAGAACAGAAAAGATGTCCGTCCATAGCATATTGGACGATTTGCTGTCTAGCCAGTGCTATAATCTATAAAAACTATTTGTACTTCGCTTACTATTAACCAGCCTATTCCTAACCTTAATTGGGTGTTAACTGTCTGCCTACATGCATTAAAATAATTTATGATCTACATTCTTATAATTTGTACAAAAATTTTATATCTTTTTGAACTATTTGTACTGCTTAATTATTTTAGTTAAAACTTTGTCGTATCAGACTTTTTAAATCATGAAACGAGATTTAAAAAACTAAATATAAATTAGAGAATAATGCACTCTAATTCATAAGTTTACTAAAATAGTTTAATTGCTTTATTTTGTGTTTTTATTGAAAGTTCTGTATATGGTACGAGTAACTTTTATTATGTTGTTTACAAACAACAAGTTTACATGTTGTAAACATTTATTTTCTTATAAATAGCCTATTGTACAGTACAGTACATATGAAGAGATATTCCGACTAATCTAAAGTGCTTCGAAAATGTATACAAATTTTAATAAATTAATTTCTTTAAAACGCCGTTTCGAGTTACAAAAATTCTATTCCCATTCATTTCAGAACACCGCAGGAGCAATATCAAGAATCAGGAAGATCAAAAGATGACCAAAAAAAAAAAAAAAAACCATCAATAGCATGAACACCATCGCTTCTTCCTATTATAAAAACTCGCCATTATAAAAAAATCGCATTATAAAAATGTTCTTATTAAACAAGGTTGCAAAAAAATAGATTAAAGAAATTGTTGCAACAAACAGTGACTTCCCCTTTGACGTTGCAATGGAGTTTGACTGTACAAGAAGCCTACAATAACTCAACATTTGCGGAGGTTTGCATTTCGAAAAGTATCGAGAATAAGGAAAGAAAGAAATAAGGTTAGGAGATGAAAAATATTAATTATTTAAAAGATAATTGAACAATAAAGACACGTTTTTGCGTAAGTTTTGCTATCGCTATTCTAAGTTAATCTCTCGCTTCTTAATAGAGAGGTTGCGGCTGACGTTTTCAACGCTAAAACGTATACGTCGGACGTTCAGCGCCGCCTTCCTGTGAGCTTAGAAGTTTGACAATGACGTTTGGAACATCAGTAGAATCGTGCTCCACGTTCTAAACGCCATTGTCAAACTTCTAGGCTCACAGGAAGCGGCGCTGAACGTCCGACGTACACGTTATCGCGTTGAAAACGTCGGCCGCAACATCTCTAATATATCTTAGATTCATTTATCGCGAAAGCGCAGGCAACCATAGCTGCAGAATTTCACCTCTAGAAACGATCTAACAAATCAAATGACCAATGATGACAATGTTCCTTGTCATCATTGATATTTTGCCTTAGTATATTTGTTATATTTGTTTAGATGACATTATTTGATTTGCAAGGATTAAAAAATAAAATTATATTCCAACGATTAAATAATGCTTACTAACATAAAACGCAGTATTTATTATCCGCATGAATGCATATGCTATAACAACTCAAAAAAAACCAGCAACGAGTTGCTTAAATTTCCCGGCAACATTTGGTGGAGCCATATATTATCATATTTTATTTTTAAAATATTTTTAACTATTATAAAATGGCAAAAAGATTAATTTTGAGGGTAGGGATGGGTTTTATAAAAAATTGTAAATGCTAATAACGAGTAAAATCGTCATTAAGTCTGACCCTACTGGAGCTACACACGACCCCCTTTATCTCCCCACTCCCTAGATCTTTAATCACGAAAATTTAATAGCATCAATCTCCCTAATAAACAAATCGTCCTGCAAAATTTCAGAAATTTTCGACGAAAAGCACAGGAGTTATTAAGCTTCAAAGAAGGCGAACAAAATTATACATCCCCCCACACACATATACACAAACATCCATACATATAGAAAGAAACCACGGATTTTTTTTTTGCATTTCTGGACGTTTCAAGACGTCCTGAATCAAAAATTGTAAAAATTTGGGGAGGATAAAAAAAAAACTACTAAATACTATTAAAATTTCCGAACTGTACACAATACGAATTACTGTAAGAAAATAATTAAGATAAAAGAATTAAACATCGTTGAACTGCCTGTTCATCTGTTGTTTAATTATTAACCCTTCCGGGGATAAGCGATTAGCTTTGTGAATCCAATTGGATAAATAGTTGCAAATACCGACATGGATATGTGAAAATGTGCCTATATGGAGTTTGTGTTGTATAAGTAAGGTACTCAGCTTGGCAAAAATGGATAATTGCAGATGTTTGCTGGAGTAAATATGGTGTTTTCATTAGAGATGAAACTAATATTAAAATCTTTTAACGTTAAATCTAAAGTGTTATCATTGACTGACCGATGGCCCAGGCGAAGGCACCAGATTGTCTTCTCTAGGATCCGGTTTCGAATCACAATCAGCTTAGACATTTTCATGAGTAGAACGCCTTCTCCGTTCTTCATTTACACGAAGGGTATGAAAAAATTCATCTTTGTACTCACAAAACAGCGAGATATTAACTAATATTCTATTTATTTTACGTAGAATTTTTTGAGAATCTATAAAGTACTTTTTGCTTTCATTATAGACACTTTTAATATTCTATAATTTGTTCTCTGCGTATAAATAAAATAAACGGAGAATAAATTAGAAACGAGGATAGCCTTTCTATAGGATAGATCTTTGAAATAATAACGAGCGTTTGGTCTCGTCGGAACGGAATAAATACCAACCGGACCATCCGGTTCAAAATCGAGTTCCTGGCAATCCTCGTTTCGAACGAATTTTATTACATATATAAATATTTATTACGTGTATTTTTATACTACGTAGATCTCGCCATCACTTTTAGTTTCAATATTGCGTAAAAAATGAACAAGTAAAAGAATTTCAAGACAGAACTAGCGAATTAGTACGATTTCGCCTTCAGACAAATAACTATATCGAAAATTCCCTTATCTAGTCAATATTTTTTTTTAGTTATTTTAACTAAGTATGCATATAATTAATACAAAGTTAATTTAGCGGGATGTAAAGATTCAATAAGACAGTCGACGATCGAAATTCCTTCTCCTTACTCTTCTTTCTCCGGTGATAGATCCGTAAACTTATATTTCGCCGAAAGAAAATAAAAATAAAGTAATTTCTTGGTAACAGTTTACTGGGGAAAAATTATGGGTTTATCCAGAATAATTATTTCTGGGGACAGACAACGAAAGTCAAATATTTACGTGTTCGTTCGGACAATTTAACGGTCGATAACGTCGGATCGAAACATCCTCATTATCCCGTTCTTAAATCCCTACTCGTTCTACTAAACCATAAATTTTATTATCTTCGCCCCTTTCTTAATTATATCTATGCAATAAAAGACATTTCTCCAGCGTACGATATTCGACAATGATCGAACGAACTTAAATATTCGCAAAAAGAAAAAATAACGCGTAATTATTCTCTAAACTTTAATCTTTCAATTAAAATAGGAAAGGTTACAGAAGGGAATGTTGTCGTCGATGTTTGTTTCGAATTAGATTTTAATGGGTAGAAACAACGAAAGAAGACGATAATTACCTTAATTCTATCGGGACCCAAACCGGGCGAAGGACAACTCTCCAAGTACTTGGCCATATCTTGATCGATATGCTCGAATACTAGATACAAGACTAGTTGTTTTTCCTTTTCTATTTGTCTTCCGTGACAGATGTCTAATAATCTAAAAATACAATTTACTCTTTTAAAGTCAATTTACGTTATTTCGACGCGATAAGAGTTTGTTACGGCGTAACACAACGTGGTGACGAAAGCATTTCGGTATAACGTCGATTCGTCCGTTAACGTTTTAATCCAAGCGGATATACTTGGAACGAAAACGAAGTCTTGCCGCCACGAGCGCGTAACGCGTTCGACGTTATCCGATTCTTACGGGCCGGAAACGAAAGGAGGTCGCGAGTCCGCCGAACACCTGGCCCACTCGTCGCTCTCGACACCTGCTCTTTTTTAACTCGGTCCGACACCCGGCGTGTCCGGTCGTAACAAAAGAAAGAGGGAAATTCGTTGCCTCGTTATAAACTTTCTCGAACGTGGGAAGGGAAGCGGATCGCCCCACGCGATGCATCTAATAATCGTTACGAATCGCAGCGATTCCTAACTATTTTTCGAGTATATCAGAGATAACGCTAAGCTATCTCTGCAATAAAAAATCTCCGTTGTCTTCTTTTGAAACGATTCCCCGACAAGAGACTTCGAGAGCGTCGAAGGAAAATAGCAATCGGGTTTATCGTTCGGAAGGTGACGGAGGATTCGGAGACTTTACGTTTCGTTACGCAACAGGAGGAGGCGGAAGAGAGACCGCGTGTCGTATGTCCGCTCGCGACGCGCGACCGATATGCCGTCGCGCATCGCCACTCTTTTATCTGGCAAATAATCCTCACATTTTAGAGAAAAAAAAACACACACACACACAAAACCGCATTGGGGAAGTAGTCCTGAATTCGATTCGGAAGAAAAGAGATTTTCGGAAGAGGTTCCAAACTTTGACGGCGAATCTTTTTCCACGTTCCAGACACCGACTGATGGAACACGGAAAAAAGGGCATCCAAAAGAGGCCTTCGGCCACCTCGGTCCGTTGGCTGGCATATAAAATTTCGCGCGAGTAACAAATATTGCCGCCGATGACTGCAGCCGTTAGAGGAGAGGCAAATCCAACCGCCTCCGCCATTCCGATTTCCGCCTCCTCCGGAGTCCAGCGCGCGCTGCCGTAAAGACCTCCCGCAGATCAGACGGCGCGCCGACGACCACGTTCGATTTGGAATGGAAGCCGGAAACGGGAGAGCTTTCGTTTTAATAGTTTTCCGAACGTCGGAAGTTTCCGTCTCGGTAGAAGCGAAATGGCCGTTTTCCCGTAACTGTAGATGTAAAGTTCTTTGGTTTTGTCTGGCCTAGATGTCGGTAAGAGACGGGACGGCGAAAAACACAACGTCGCGTCGCTAATGCTATCGCGTTTTCTTTTCCATTAGAGGAATGTGCATCATCGGGCGCGGCTTCCGGGCCTCTTCCAACGTGGGACGAGTCGTCGGTGGGAGCGAGGTCGGCGGAAAGACGAGAAAAAACTCGAAAGGAATCGTGGGAACGGACGACCCGGCCCGGGGAGGGACGAACCGAGAGAAACGATCGCGCCGCCCGGCCGGATCCCCCCGTCGGACCGGGCCGCGGCCGCCCGGGCGGTGTCTTCCGCCTAGTTTCTCTCCTCCCCTTTAAATCCGCGTGGGAGGCAAACGGTGGCAAAAACTCCTCCGTTTATCCGGTCGGACCCTTAAAATGCGCATCGAGGAGTTTCTCGGATCACGATCTCCTTCTTTCGTCGCCACGCGACGCGTCTGGACAAAACGACGCGTCGCGGACAGTTTTTTTTCTTTCGCTCGACGCCGAGAAGAGTATCTGTTAGACGGTGACCTCGACCGAAATCCGGGTGAGTCCCGGGCTAGACAAAGAACGGAAGTGTACTCGTCCTTGCCCCGAGGAAGAAAACTCTTCCACGTCTGTAACGTCACGCGTTCGGTCTCCGCCCGTTCCCGCTGGACGCCTCCTCCTCTCGAGTGACCGGAAGCCGCGACTTGGAAGTTGCGGGGATTTCCCGAACTCGAATGGCAGTCGTCTTCTCGGGAGGGAGGAGCTAGATTCCGGTCGGAGCCGCCATCCGGCGCATCGGCGCGCGTCTTGGGCGCGGACGATCCGTTACGATCCCTTAAAGGTTCCGTCAGTCTCGTCCCCCCGGGTCGGACGGGACAAAATCTCGACGTGGTCGGTAAGACTCCCGCCCACGCGAGGTCGACAGCCGACCCGCATCGCATAGTTTTCGGTCTAGACGGGAAACGGCGCGGCGGGTGCCGGCGACGCGTCGGAGCGCGGCGTACCTGACGATGTTGGGGTGCTCGAAGCATTCCAGCTGCTTGAGTAGGGAGATTTCTCTGAGAGTGCTGATGGGCACTCCATCCTCGGTCAGGGGCACGCGCACTTTCTTGACGGCCACCAAACGACCGTCGTGGGCCACGTCCTTTGCCTTGTAGACGGTTCCGTATGCTCCCGTGCCGATGACCGACAGTTCCTCGTAGTTCTTGGCGTCGTGGGGCTCGTCGTCGGCCGCGTTTCCCCCGGCATCGGCGGCCTTTCCCGCGGGACTGGGCATGACTGTCGACGATCGACGACGTCACGTGGCTGAAAATATAAAAAGGCGACGGATAAAGAAGCCATCGGTAATTATTGGCGGTCGAAGCGTCGCGATTCTTCGCTGCGACCAGAGAGCCGTCGACGGATGAGAAAACGTTTTCCGAGGCGTACCTGAGTGGCGTTTCCGAGGCATTGTTCGAAAGAGACGTAGGAAATGACTCATCTCCGGGTTGGTTAATTATTAGTCCGGGAGAAGAATCGACATTTCCTACGGTTCCGCGTAATCGACGCCGGCGTTAAATAACAAAGACGGATGTTTCCCTCCGTCGATACCGAGATCTTTTACCCTACAATAATCAGGATTCCACACTCGGATTTAACCGTTGCGGAAGGACTCGGACGCCGAGGGGGACGGGAAACCGGAAACGGTTCGGAGTTTCCGGCAGATGGTCCCCGAAGAGCGCTTCCGGCGGTGTCTCCGAGGGCCTCCTCCCGTTCCGAGAATTCAGTCGGCGAAGGGAGGTTCGGATTCGATTCTTTCGGGAAGACGACGACCGACGAATCGTCTAATTCGAATTTTTACGCGCTCGCACTCGTTTCCAGGATACGCTCCGCAGAAAAACGCGAAAAATTTCGTCCGTCCTTTGAACTCGGCGAGATTTATAAACGTCGGCCTATCGAACTCGGTAATCTCTACCTCCACTTTTATCTGAACTATCCATTTCCTTTCGAGATAACTCGGTCTTTCTGAAGTCGCGCTTCGCCGCTTAATTTCTAATTCGAAAGCGAATTTCCTTCCCTCGGAGGACGCGCAGTCCCTAAAGACGATCGTCTTTGGGGATCGCATTAGTTGCTCCGGCCATCCACAAAACTGAAAGACCACGGGAACGTTCCGTTTCCGTAGAACCACTGGGAAAATCTTTCCCAACGGAGGAAAATTACCGAGCGCATCTTCTTCGGGACCCGATACCGGTTTAAGTAGCCAGGCTGGGTATGTTTTTTTCTTCGAAAGGAATTTGGTAAAAGAGAAATGTGCCGCTTGCGAAGGAAAAGGGAGGAAGATCCGCGCGCGAGATAGCGAAGAAACCCGAAATTAGTAAAACGGAGGTGCGAAAGAATGCGGATGCAGGACGTGGAAAAGCGTCGGCAGCGCTAACGGACAGAAACGGTTTGCCACGAAGAAAAGCCACATTTATTTTCTTTCTGCCTTTATTTCGCCGAAAAACGAACCGAACCCGTTCTCCCTTAGACTTCCCGAACGGCGGCGGAACCACCTCAAATTGGGACCCGAAGAGACCCGTTTGGTTGGAAGTCGGTTAACCGGTCCGCTCGAAACCCGGGTGGCTTCGGGCGTTATTTCGGAAGAATGTCGTTTAGAGCCGGTGGCATTTTCGGGGCCCCACCGGACTTTCGCGGTTCAGAAACGTCATCGGAATTTCGGTACGCGCCAGAAGAAAGGTGGAGCGTTGGGAATTTCGGAAGCGTTACCGATGAGTCGGTCGGTGGGCGGAAGTACTTTCCATTAAGGTACTCCGACCTTTCCGTCCGGATAAATTCGGAAAGTGAATAGGAATCGTAAAGGTGCCTATCCGCCGTTTATGATTAACCGCCGATTAAAACGACCGGATACCGCGCCAAAGAATCGAAACAAAGTTGGAACCGAGAACAAAGCATTGGAAAGAAGGTCGACGTTTAACCGCCGACTCCCGAACTTTTCCGTCTCTTTCGAATTCTAAACAAAGACGGTCTTTTCCACCATAAAATTAAAAAGACCGTCCGAAATATTTCCTCCCTTCCACGGTAACGGTACCGTTTCTATACTAATGCGTTTCGTTACGCCAACCTTTCGGAGTTAATACTTCTAGACGACGTTTTCTTTTTGTTCGATAAAAATCGCTAATTTATCGGTCTAGTTTGTCGACTCGTACGTCTACCCTTCGGACCGGTCGAAAACCATTTTTCTACGAAAGAGGCGCGCGCCTAGGTTATCCGGAGAGGTACGAATAATACAATGGGGCCAACATTACTTACTCCTTTCCGGTCGAAAATCGAAAGAACGTACTGTACCTTCAGTTAACCGTAGGAAAGTTAGCGCCCGGTAAATCGAATCGATAGGGAACACGCGAGAGCGATTTCGGCTCTTTGTCCCGGGGCTCGAGTCAACAGCTGACCCGAGTGACAACCGACCGGCGACGACTACATTGTTCGATCGCGGATAGTTATTTCTTTATCCGCGCACGTTCCTTCCCGTTAAGTGTTAGAAAATCAAGTTAAAATCGAACGTACCTAAGTTCTCCCGTGACATCTTTCCTACGTCGACGTATATTACGTACGGAATGGATATAAAAAAAGAAAGGACGGAGGTCGGACGAACGGCCTGACCCACCGTCGACTAACCGAACCACTACCGGACTAGTAGTCGTCGATTATAGATGAATGAATGCGTAAGGAAGGCGGTGCTTTCCGACGGGTCGGCCCGCGTGACGTAACGACGACCGAAGTTCCGGAATTGCCACCGTAGACCGAGCGGGTGTATGGCTTCGATTATTACTCTTCCCTCGATTAAAACGCGTAAGAGTCGTCGTACCCTTCAATTTCTGCAAGTTTTCTTTTCCCTAAAAATGTCGACTAATTTAAGGCTGGTTCTTTCGTCTCTCGTCAGATGGCGGATCCTAACGGATAGTACAAAGCCAGCTTTCGTGAATGGACGCCCTTACCATTCATTCGCTTATCGGAAACATAGGAAGGCGGTATCTAAGATAAACTGCGATTGCCACTATATCGAAAAGAGAAAAAATAATAATAATTCTTCCGTATTTTCTCGGAATTTTCGCCCCGAGGATTTTAAATATTTATAAAAAGACGAAAAAGTGTTAGAAAAATATTTGAATTCTGGCACAAACAAACGAACAAATTCGGATGATAAAAGGTCCGAAGGGCGCAGGATTTTAATATTTCAATATCGTTTTGTCATTGATAAACCCACGATGAATGCCGACATATATTTAAATTGCCTTCGATTGTCCGAACCATTCTCTGCCCGGAAATTATGGCGACGCTGAGACTTCGCCATTCGGTCGAGTGTAGAAATGGTTATCTACTGATAAATTCTTAAATAAAGACTACCATCGATAAAACAGTTTATTGATTAAATAACTTGTAAACAGAAAGAAGAAAATGCGTAATAACTGACGCTCTTTAAACAAAGTATATAAACAAAAATTCGATAGAACAATAAAGGTTATTCATTAACAAAACAGGAAATACGAAAATATATTAATTAAACACTAAAAAGAGTTCATTTCGAACGAAAAATAGTTCTCATTGGATGACCTCCCCTCAGAAGATGAACGATGGCGTCGTGTTCTGGGTTCGATTCGGTAAACAGGGTTCGAATGATGGATGCGGGTACCGTGGGAAAAAGTACCGACACTCGAGCCACTTCTTCTAATTTCTCTTCGTTTTGTTCTTTTCTCAATTGTTCTTCGATTTCTGTAATGCGACTGCGAAAATTGCGGACCAATTCGGATTTCGAGTACGCATCGGCCTTTAAAGCGTACCATAAAACAATTATTATTGGAACGAGAAGAAAGAAGTAAAACCAATAATCAACGATTAAACCATAAAATGGAATGGTAGACGTGGGTTTCAATACGTCGATCAGAGTTCGATCTTCTTCGTAACTTTCCACGCATTGATGATCCCTGAAATAATAATATTCTAACTTACAGTTAATCCGTACTTTTCGAGTAAAACTACGATAGCAATTATTACAATAACAACTTTTCTGAAGGTTTTATAGTAACATTTTCATAAGCATTCGTTTATGGAGCAAATTTTCTTTATGTGAGTATCGAAATTTAAGAAATATCGAAGAGATAATGTGACTTAGCCAACGTCTCGCAAAACTGTTTGAAAACGAATCGATTCGGATCCTATTTTTCCAGAATAGGTCTATATAAATAGCTGGCTTCAATTTTATCTGTTACAATATCGATGGGGATATTGGACGAAAGGAAAAGCGAACAATATACTTTGTTGCCACGGAGACTTAAAATATTCCCTTGCATCGAAAGATAAATCTCGATTAAACTTTTAAAACTACATCTTTAATATCTGTTAGAAAGCAGAATTCCAGAAGATATTACTAAACTTTATTTTATTTACTCAATAAAAATTTTAAACATGCCGAAGAGGTATTTTTAAAAATTGAGGAAAAGAGAAGGTTAATACCATAAGAGAAAATAAAGAAATAACATAATTAAAATAGAATAATAAGTGTAATAAGAAGAGGACCAACGATCTTCTTGAAAACATTTCCGTCTGAAATTTGAAATTTCAATTTCTTTGGATTTATTTAATAAACAAGTAAATATAAATGATTATACTATTAGAATTTTCATTTGACTAGAAATAACGAATGTAATGCCTTCAGCATTACATTCGTTATTTCTAGATGCTTCAAATTAGAAATAACGAATGTAATGCCTTCAGCATTACATTCGTTATTTCTAATTTGAAGCATCGTTACACATATAATAGCCCTATGATCTTTTAATTAAATGAGCGATTACACGTTACTCCCCTCCTCTATACAATGCTCTAGTTACAGTACTTCGATCGAACTTGAAATCACATTAGAAATGCCCTCACCCATAGATTTTGGAAAAAAAAAAATTCGATTTGAATTACGGAAACGGAGAACAAAATTCCCACGCGAATATGAAAAGTTTATATCGTTTGTAATTTAATAGAAGAAACAAATACATTGTTGCAACCTAATTTGTAACTTCCAGTGTATTAAAGATTCTCTTGCTTTTCACATGTATACGTATGTCTAAATAATTCATAGATGTTTCTCCTATTTTTTTATATTTTTACTTGAGACCTTTTCTTTTATTGTTTATCCCTTCCACGAATTCAACAATCCTATTACTAGTTGTTACAACATAATACGGGAAAGTTTTATAATCGTGTCAAAATTGACCCTCCGGGTGTTTTGCAAATCTCGACATTTCAGACCCCTTGAACTCAAAAAAGTAAAAAATAGAGGGGAAATTCCGTGGTTATGTATATGTGTGTTTTGACATCTATTTCGTTTAATATTTCAGGGTGGGATAAAGATTAAGAAATGAAATTTGGTATGGTAACTTCTATATAATAGACATTGATGCTACTAAATTTTGGTGAGAAAAGGTCGACGGATAGGGAGATAGAGTGTTTGAGGTAAGAAGACTTAATGAACATTTTACTTGTATAAGTTTTAAGCTCTTTTGAAATGATGATTTTTATCTTATAAAATGTTTTCAATATTCAAATAATTATTTACCTATCTATTTACATATATATCTTCTTAAAGCTTTTTCAGCACTGCTCTATATATTATTTTAACTACAATTTTATACTTGATAATGAAATACAATTCCTTTCACTGTTGCTTTAAAGTGAACATAATGTGATAATTCCTTCAAACTGTTTATAGTGAAATAAACTTTGAAATGATTTGTAATGAAATAAATCCATAATGTACCAACGAGTGTGCATTTAAAGACTGAAATATTGTTTTATTAAAATGACATTGGCACCGATATTAAAACTAAATATAATGAAAATTCTTGACAGTACTATTACAGTTTTTGGCATCGGAACGATTACTTGACGTCTCTGATATCACGACTTTCTATAGCGAAATAATTACGATTGTAAAACGTATTTATTGAATGAAGGTTTCAGACTTTATTGTGTTTCGTGTACATGTAAGATAAAACTGTAATAATTTGAAAACAATTGATTTACGCATTCTTGACTGCAGTTTTTGTACATGTAATGTTTACAGGTATGTTTTTTGGGGATAAAATCATAATCATCCAATCGTTTCATGTCATTTCTCTTGGAGAAATAATCCGCCGACCCCTTCGTTCGAAATAATCTATATATATTACATTTTCTAACATGTCAATTTCGTGGTTGTCGAATGTTGCTTTTTTCCCCTGAAATAGGCGTTTGATCCATGCATAAAACCCAGAATTTATTGTTCTTCACTCGCAGATTTTCTAATTAGATTCAGTTATTAGTGTTTGACTCGAGATTCAAACTCTACTTCGTGTTGATGAATACGAGGGTTAGATGTTTGGTTTATTTGTTTACGGCAATGCGACTCGTGTACGATCTGCCAAAGTAGGATTAGGTCTTTCTAAGGAAAACTGGTCACTATTTAGGTGTTACAAACCTGAAGAAAATCCGAAAAAAATACATGTGGCCAACAAGCGAATCCACGACTAACTACCGATATTCAGTGATTTTATCCACTCGGCCACTGATAGATAGGGGCTAATTAGAGAACTTACTTGTTACAAACAGCATGAGTACCCATACAATATTCACCAGGATGTTTTCTATATGCCTTTCCCTCGTTCGTAAGTATTCCAAAATCTATCGCCGGTCTGCATTTGGGAGAATTCCCTCTTTTGCAGCATACATCACACAGTTTATCTTCTTCTTCACATTGGCATGTCTAAGTTTGAAGAAATAAGTAAGTACTAGAGGATAACAATTACGATATTATTTGTCCATCCGAAAGAACGCGCACTTACCATCAATCCAAAGAACAAACATACCGACTGATTACACGAGCCTCCAGAACACACTCTAGAATCAGTTTGGCAGGGAGTTCCGTCTGGTTTGGGAATTGCGGAGGGACAACGTTGTGAATTTCCGTCGCAGTGTCTTCGATCCTCGCATTCGCGAAGAGTGGTTCCACAAGTTCTATTAGTGTCGGTATCCACCCGGCAATCAGGAGTGCAACAGGAAGATTCTCTGGGACTGCAGACGTAACCAGAGCTGCGTCTGATGGTGCATTCGTCGTCGGATTCGTAGCCATCCCTGGGAGCGCAACAGGGATCAATTCTATTACAAGTAAGGAATGTTCCACAATCGCATTCTTCGCCTCGTTCGGTAATGCCATTTCCGCATAATGATAGGTTGTAAATTAGTAAACAGGAGTCACCTAATTCGAAAAGAAGTCTTAGCAAATAAGTAGTAAAGCGTCACTGTTATTAGAACACTCACCTCTTTTGGCTAAGATGGAGGATATCTGAGCGATGCTACAGGGCGAGAACTTGCGATGATTGGGTTTCGTACCGTCGTTAGAAGTGACTGCCATGATGAAATTTCCCTCTTCGAACCCGGGAGCACACTCATTTTCCTCTTCGCGATCATGATGGCTACCGAAACTATGGCCTATTTCATGAGTGAAGGTTTCCACGAAAACCATCCTCGACATCTGACTTCCGTTATTAAGTGAAGTAACAAAACCCACGTTGTAGCTGAACAATCTGCCGTACATTTCACGGGGTTTTTCGCAAATTCCTCCGGGAGGAGCCGATGGATTGGCACTGGCGGTGAAGGCCTGCCCGACCACGGATCTTTCGAAATCGATGTGAGTGAAGGTGTAGGAAAGACAGTGATCTTGCACTCTTCGCGTCAAATCCGACATGTACTTCTTGGGGTCGGTAACGGCCGCGCCCGTCGTATAGTTAATATCATCTTTATTTTTATAAACGGAGATTTCTTCGATTCTCAAACCGACGTTATCCAAAATTCCATCTCCGTTAAAATCAACTTGCTGAAGGATTTCGTTGGCTTCTCTCACCACGAATAGCATCTCGGCGATGACATCTGCTTCGTTAGAACCCAGAGCCTTGTAGAAAGTGTGATCAGAAACGATCTCTATCATACAAACTTTGTTGGCCCATCTGTTGTCTTTCGAGTTAGCTTGGATTTTAATCGGTCGATAAAGATATCCTCCTTCATTTCTCGAATTCCCGTCCATCGCCACGGATCCATTCCTCCACATTTTTCTAAAAACAATCGCATTATAAAGTGAACAGTCCTTTATATAGTCACTTAGAGGTTCCACATTATACGTCTCGTCTCCGATATGTACGATACTCTGGAATATTCCTTTCCTGCGATAACCGCTGACTTTAGAATCCATCCGATCCACTAATATACCTTCGTAGAAGATCACGTTTCTCATCTCCTTCCAGGGTATTGATCGACTGCGGGATCTGTCGTATATAGTGATTTTGGCATCTTCGTTAATAGGAAGATCGTACGTTTTTGTCGCTAGAATTCGAAACGATACGTTGAATGCCTCAAATTGTATTTTGAAAACATTCCCGAAACGAAAAGAAGAACCGACGTTTGGTCGGGTTGAAGAATATTCGATATCAGTTAATGAATCGACAAAAGAAACGTATTGGTAGACGCCTCGAATGTTCGAAGATCTGCAAATACCGAGCGAACATTCGAAATAAACTAAACAACAAAACATCACGAATAGTTTCGTAAAGCCCGCCATTTTTCGTATTTCACGGCGCCGCCTTTACGACTAAAATTTCAACATTTTAAAATAATATAAATAATCTATATTTTACATTAAAAATAAAATTGATTCAAAACTTAAGTATTTATCGAAATTAAATAATTTTCATACACGGCGGTTAATTTTTATTAATTAAATAATATTATATATAAAAGTGTTTCTTTTCGAAGACGACAGGTGGCGGTAATTTGTAATTTTTTTATTATTTGAATATTTTCTAAGCAGTTCGAATTTTTCAAGTTTTAGTAATAAATTCAAAATTAAGTTTCGTAATATATTTATATTGTATTGAATTGTATTATTAATGCTGATTAGATAAAATAAAGTGATGCTCAAAATGGACTAAACTGGAAATAGTCTTCAGCATACTGTAGCCTTTTAATTTGATGCCAGAGAAAACAAATAATAATTAATGAAAAATAAATATAACATCGTTTGTTGATGTCGGATACTATAGACACAAAGTCCGCTTATCTGAAGTATCAACACAAATTTAAGTTTAAGCCTGAATATAAAACTTTGCAATAGCGGAACGTAGCAAAAGAATAAGCCAGCTATACCCTTGTTCAGTCAGTCGAGCTACCGGCAATAGAGAGGTTGTGGCCGACGTTTTCAACGCGAAAACGTGTACGTCGGACGTTCAGCGCCGCCTTCCTGTAAGCCTAGAAGTTTGACAATGGCGTTTGGTACTGACGTTCCAAACGCCATTGTCAAACTTCTAGGCTTACAGGAAGGCGGCGCTGAACGTCCGACGTACACGTTTTCGCGTTGAAAATGTCGGCCGCAATCTCTTAAGGAGACAAAAAATAGCGCGTCACTTTACAAATAATATGAAGATGGGATCTGGCGAGGCGGTTTTGTGAATCACAGTCGTTTATGATTACATTTTCTCCATTAAGGATGCTAATTTGCCAATACCCTGTGTTAGTCTACATGGTTCTTAGAAGAGACTTTTCAAATTTGGTTAAATGAGATATGGAACTTTCAGGAAGCAACTCGTTTTTATACAAAATTCAATAACCAACCGCTACGCAGCAATAATTTCACTTACTAGCCAAAAAACTTACTCAAAATACTAATTACGAGTACAAAAAAATAGACTGTAGGTGAAAAGATCTTATCAGAGCTATAGACCGTGCCCTTAGGAGTAAAAATATCGAAGGAACAGATGGTCTACGTGTGACCCTTCACGAGATATAGCCGTCCGAAATCAACCTAACTGGAATTTTGAAGACTTATAACATTTGAGTAAAATTTAAAAGTGAAAAAATCCGAAACTATTTCTCAAAACAACGCTAAAAATTAATTGTTTTCTACTTTATTAGACATGGCTAAAACGCCGTTGCATCGACTACTTTCGGGGCACGATCATAGTTACGCTGCGCGCTGTCAAGCTTATCGTTGTTTAACAAGAAGATATTCTATCTCGCCAAGTGTCACAATTAGAGATATGGTTTCTTTGACTTTTTTGGTCCTCTAATGGTGGTCTAAAATTTGGGATTCATTCCTTCCGTTCAGAACTGCAATTTTACCTGCGTTGTGATGAAAATAAATTCTCAGAACTTGAAAGCGCAGTTGAGGAACAAAATTCAGGTAATGTAGAATTGATATCGTTTTGTACAAATACAATTGTTAATACTTCGTTGAATGCTAATCCAATTCTATATAATATATCCATTCCACGGCCGAATGGCCTAGTGGTCAAAGTGTCAGCCTACCGCTCTGGGAAACCCAGGATCATATCCAGATGAGTCGATAACGCTCTAGGACTTTTTCGAGTGGTGGTCCGTCCGGATATGTCAGACCATCCTTCATACTTGGCAGACTCATTGTGGCCGAACTCATAATGGGCTTGCTAAAAGAGGCCTTGGAGGAAAGAATTAAGAGTAAAACTAATTTAAATTTAATAGTAAGAGATCCTCTGGAAGAGTTAAAACCGACGGATGTTATTAATGTAATTAGCATAGGAAAGTCGAAGGTCGATATTTATCGATCATGTTCATTGAGTGTCAGGATTCTTAATATTATTTTGGAAAATTTTATAAATGGATGGAGGAAAAATAGGAGTAGTATCAAATCTGAAAGATTATATTCCTCCTTTGTGATTTGCTAAACAGCAAACGACTCCATTGTGGCGTCAAAAATTAATTTCAATCATGATAGATTACGAAGGTAAACATAATAATAAAACTTTATTAAACGATATGCTGGAAATAGATAGAGAACATTACGTGTTCTTTAAATAAAGCAAAAAAATACCATTACTGGATTTTTTATTCTAACGACAAAATTAATTTCGTCGAACTATGTTTTCTCAAATCAACGAAACTATTTAAAAAATCAATTAATTCAACGCAAAGTTTTTCAAGATGGAAAATTTATTTTGTGCAATGTTCATGGTTTTGCGAAAAAGCAAGATGATATAAAGAATTGGTTATCAAATGAGTCTAATCTGGTGGCTTTGGATTGTATTGAGATTTGGTCAAACAAGCGATTAATATTTACGAGATAATGTATAATACAAGTGAGCGCTAATTATCATATTGTCAAGAAGCAACAAAAAAAAAAAAACAATAAATATGGCTGACTATGGATGATAAATCAAAAGCTCGTAAGATCTGAGTTAATTGAATCTCGCCCAGAGTATTTGGCTGTTTTGTTGTCTGATTTAAAATATATTTCCGATGCAAATGTTTTGTTAGTTTCAATATACCGGAAAAATTATTAGAACATTAATAGAAAATCATTGGCATAGATTTGATGAGGAATTAGTGATGGACGATTATAATGCTCGTGTAGAATCGCTGATGACTTCTTCCAAGATTGCTAACAATAGGCTTATGAATATTTTGGATCCCATAAGAAGAGATGAAATGATTAACAGTCCAGGAAGGAATATAAAATTTGCACACAAACATAATTTCATTTGATTTCGAGCAACTAAACTTAATAGTTTTAATATTAAATCGAGCCCGCCCAAAATGTACTACAAAATAGAATAACAAAAAAAAAACTTTAAATGAAAAGAATGATATAAATGAAAAAACTAATAAGTAAAGTAAACTTTACTTCACGAACAGTAGAGTATATGTAATAACAGATTTACTTATATAGGAGAAACAAAGAGAGAACTTCAAATACCATTAAAAGAACATATTGCTGACTTCAGATACAATAGACAAAAATTGATTTACATGAACATTGTCTATTAAATAATTGTAATATTGAAAAAATAGTTCTACGCATATTGTAGAAATTTAAAGAAAGTGTAGAAATATTAAATACTAGATATAAAATTTAAGAAAACAAAGCATAAAAATAATTTATAATTGACTTAAATTATTATAAAAAATAACTAATAAAGGGAAAAAAATGTATTTATAGTAATAAATAGAATAAATATGAAATAATGTAACGATCAATTTTCCACGATTTTAAAAATTTATACAAAATTAACAAATTAGATTTTCAAAATTTTGAACCCTACGTTAATAGAACTAAATAATATTCTAAAGAAAAAACTGTTTGGTTTCATCTACTCTTTCGGGAAAGTTTTGGAAAAGGATTTTCTCATAGAAAAAGCATTAAATCTTTAACTCTATCTGCTGAAGATCGAGTGTATAGCCTAACCAAAGAAGTTATCATACAGAAAATTAATTAAATAAATATTCTATTTTATAATGTTAAAATAACTAATAGATTTAATAAAAGCATGAAAATACTTTATGGAAATCAAAGTATATCCACTTTATTCAAAAGATAATACTGTATCTTTAGTAAAAATATCAACGATATCATTTGACTCATTCAAATGGTAGGAATAGATATATGTTATATGAGTAGACTTGTTGATAGAACATTTAAAATCAATTAATTTATAAATATATTCAAGTAATTTAAATTTAAACGTTACAGACTTTAGAAATATTTCAAATGCCTTGGATAGCTTTATATGATTAACAGCCAATACATGTCAATTAAAACCGATTGAAATAATTTGAGATCAATTAAGATCCTTTAACATTACGTTATAATGCATTATGATAAATGATAAGTGATTTAAATTACTTTTAATTAATTGACTTTATATTTTTTATTATACTTTTATCTATTAAAAAAAAAAGAAATTTTAAAACTTCTCTCTTTCAGAAAAATCAATTTAATTGTCTAAATATTTTTAGAATTCTCTTCCATTTCCATTGTACAGTACAGACAGTACGAAAGTAATAAGCCCAATATTAAGTTATAGCTATTGTAAAATGTTAACAGGAGTTTCGAACGTATACTACCGCCATCTGTTGAGTAAATTTTATATTTTTGACACGGGTCCGAATCTTCACACCGGCTCGTGTATTTGTGTTTATCGGGTTTTAATCGAAGAAATACTTACGGGATGACAATAATCTATAGTTTTTATGTTATAACGATAACGTAAATGAGTGCTACTTTTAATATGAGAAAAATTCATAAATTATTTAGTGATCGGAATATTAAATTTATACAATCGAAAAGAATTCCATTGTATCATACATGACGTAGGAAGTTACATTTTTCTCGCAACGTCGTTCGAAGTTGCGAGAAGTGTCTTTCAATTTTCTGTTTCTCGTTCTTCATACGCCATTTTTTCATCTAGTGGTAAAAATTCGAACTAAATATTTTTTATGCATTTTCCTTTTCCCCATGGTCCATATAACATATATATCGAATTTCATCAAAATACGTCCGCGAGAACGGGCTCTAGACGGGTCTGAGTAACGCAACTTTAATTATAACCACCCTGTATATAAAAATTGTATTGCTTTAATAATTACTTAAAATAAAATAAATTACATAACAAATTCTGTTATATTTTTATAAAAACAAAATGAAAAGTAATTATAAAAATATTTAAGTATAAATAAACATTGTAAAGAAATAATGAAGCTCTTACTAGCAATAGAAATCTCGGGGGATCTCCCCGTACTTTGGTATATTTAGATACATAAAATGGTTCT